GGAGTGTTTTCGTCGTCGTCCGTCGTCTTCGTATTGGTGCGATGCGTGCTGTTACACTCATACGTCGTGTTCGACGCTTATCCGTCCGTTGCTCGAAAGCAAGTGACGAAGAAAACACTGGCAAGCGTTTTTATTATCGGTGCTTTTCTCCTCCCTTCCTTTCATTGGTGAAAATGTGAGCGATCAACCGAGCATTAAGCTCGCTCATGTGATCATGGTCAATGTGTTCGATTTGTGCTCTATCGTTGCGTCCGTGTTTGGGATTTTTCGTTACATGTCTGAGGTTTGATTTTTTCAATGTGACCCCCAGTATAGAAATTAAAGACGTAGTCCTACGTCAAAAAATTGTTTAAAGTTCTGATACATGACCGTATTATAAATATTTTACGCGTACAATATTATAAATATTGTACATTTCATCCTTGTAAGCAACATTTCTTGCAAGATGCTGGAGTGCGTGATATGAAATATAGGTTTTTCAGGAAATTTTCAAAATTGATTAACAAAGCACAAAACATGAAAAAAAATTTTTTTTTGTTAATTTTGAATTTACGCTGAAAGCGTTTTTGATCCAATTAAATTCGCGAAAAGGCAAGATAATATCCATAAATTAATAAGGGACTAAGAAACAGTCGCATTTTTACTCGTTTGCTTCGAAAAACAAACAAAAGTGGCAGAGTTTCCAACTGAAAGAGCTATTCAATGCATTCCAGAGTTCAGAGGCGCGGCCTCAGAATTACCATCGTTTCTATACCTGTGTGATTTCTTCGCTAAGAAATTGCCAGTAGAAGAATCGCATGATCCTTTAATTCAGGTAATTTTGATGAAATTGAAAGATCCGGCATCAGGGTATTTCAAACGCATTTATGCGGAAATATGGCCCGAAGTAAGAACCAATCTCGAAAGAGAATTTGGAACAAATGTTAAACTGGAAGAAATTTTTCAGAAAATCGAAACTTTGGAGCAAGGACCAAACGAATCCTTTCAAGATTACAAAGATAGGGCATTAACATTAAAAGAACACGGGGATGAATATGAAGAAAATAATGCCAAAGGCAGAGAGTCATATGCACTACGGAGTTTGAGGATACATTTTTTGGGAGGTTTGAAGGCACTTGAAAAATATGGCAAAATCACAGAAAAATAACACCTTAAATGAACTAGTCAAATATTTTCAGGAAGACTGTATCGACGAAGAACAAATTGAGGATATCGAAAAAAGACTTCAGTGTACTCGCATGGCTGAAAAATCGAGATCACAGTGGAACCGATGTAATTATGATAATCATGTCAGTCCGCATCGTGCTCTCTTGCCGTGCGGATCTATTTGCTTTTTGCTGAAGGAAGTGTTACTACTACCTAAAGCTACAACAAATTTAAACAGCACTTTTCAGTGCTCAACCTGTAAAAAAATTTTCTACCTTGTTCAACTCTTATTCCTCTTCGATCCTTGTTTGGACCCTACCCGAGGTAATCCTTCTTGGATATCGATTTGGAAAATTCCTCTTCGATCCTTCAGATTCTTATAGTAATCTGCTTGGAAGTCGATTTGGATAAAAATTTACTGCCGCTATGGCGCCTAAACGCAAAAGAAAGGGGCAAACTCTTGACCCCCCTTCTGATGAAATTAATTTGAGTAATCAATTTGATTTGCTCACGGATGATGAGAATGATCCATCATCCAAGAAAAATTCTAATAAACTTTCCCGGCTTAATGCCAAGAAGGAATAGATTCCCCCTATTGTGATAACCACTTCCGATTTCCATGCTCTTCGCATGGAACTTTTGAATTTCGTGAAAGTTAAGTTTTCACTAAAAATTGGACGTCGGGGTGAATGCCGTGTATTGGCTGAAACCTTGGACGGATTTAAATGTCTTCTCAAGTATCTTACTGAGAAGAAGCACAATTTTTTTTTTCAAATAACAGACTGTAGTGGTAATTTTTATACGATAGATGGAGTAGATGAAAGCATAGAGTTGATAGTTCCGTTAGAGTACGGCAGTGTGAAGATTGCATATAGATATTAGAATAGCGAGCTAGAACAACTTTTAAGGAAGGGGTCTACAAATCGGTTTTTTCATCTCTCTTTACCAAACTCCCCCTTTGGAGAGGGATGGTGAGGGGTGTGTCCCCCCCCCCCGCCACCACTGGCAAAAAGAGATGAAAACCGACCCGCTCAAGTACCTACTGTGTGTTTGAAACAGTTCTACCGATTTTTTACCGCACTTATTTGAAGGAAGGCATCCAGTCGTAGGTTTGGAAATTGCAACTATTGTTTACCCCTACCACGATATGTGCTCCTGTCATCGTCGACTTGACGATCTCGAGGGGACACGGGTGGGGTAGGTGCTGCTACTGTACCTTTCGACCATTGACAGTAATTGATGGTATGCTCTAATCCAGAGTTATGTACTTTGACTATATGTTTTAGTATTACTTCTACGTGAAGTCAACGATTTACATAGTTGAAGATGCTAATTTCAAATAACAGACTGTAGTGGTAATTTTTATACGATAGATGGAGTAGATGAAAGCATAGAGTTGATAGTTCCGTTAGAGTGTGAGTGTGAGTACGGCAGTGTGAAGATTGCAGAGGTTGGAAATTCTGCGCTCCAGAAATGTGAGCCTCAGAATTTCATGAAAATTGGTATAGTTCTTCCTTATCAAAAATATTAGACTCGTATTTTTTTATTCCGTCATTAGGGCGGTCCGAATTTTTTTTTGTATTTTTAATTGAAAAATCATTTTATTTTACATAACATATAAAAAAAAAAGCGATGTCGGAGAAGTAGTTTTGGAGATACAATTTTTTTTAAATAAAAAATCATTGTTCCGCAATATATACACCACACGTGCATGGAAACGATTAAGACGCAAGGTAGTTCACAATGCGTCTCCATCGAGTCACAGCAGCTGTGACTAACGAAATCTATGAGTAACTTACAAGCTGGGTGCAACATTCAGTTCAGCCTGGGGGCTGTCCATAAACCACGTAGACCAATTTTTAAACATTGCAGATCCTACCTTTCCCCTCGTATACTAAAATTTTAAAGCGTTTCGTTTCAATACTCCTCCCATAGGGCCCTTTCCATGACAAGTTGCGATTAAATTCCACACGGCAGCAATGCCAAAATCTTATTGCATGTTGCATGAGTACCTACGAGTCCAAGCTGTAACTCATAGGTATATCAATCGTTCGTAGGCAATGACTTTTACATAAGTAAAGTGCAATAAAATCGGAAAACGAAATGATTTCCGCACAGTTTTCTCGTTTCTTGGAGAATCAAAACAGTGCTCTTCAAGCGATGGTGGAAGCGATTCGTCAAGTGCAAGTTCCACCAGCAGTTATGAATTATTGAAAAAATAAGAATTTTTTAAAATACTACCAATAGTTATTGAATATCTTTAAAATAGTGTTAATATTAAAACACATTAAATTTACAACAAAAAAGCGCTTAATGCTTAAATTGCCCAAAGTTGTTATTTTCGAGATACTCGTAGGTTAAAATTCACTTGTCGCATAATTTGAGAAATTTTCACTCTTTTGAGATGTTATTCTTAAAATTAATATGTTTTAATATTAACACTATTTCAAAGATATTCGATAACTAACGGTAGTATTTTGGAAAATACTTATTTTTACAATAATTCATAACTTTTTTAATTATGATTTGCCCAGCAAATACACAGTGTCAATAGGTATTTCTTTACCTAAGCTACAAAGTAAATATAAAAAAAAATATTTTAAAAAGATATGCAATTTGAGTAAACATCTCAAAAAGGCGAAAATTGCTCAAAATATTCGATATGTGAATTTTAACCTACGAGTATCTCGAAAATAACAACTTTGGGCAATTCAAGCATTATGAGTTTTTTTGTTGTAAATTTGATGTGTTTTAATATTAACACTATTTTAAAGATATTCGATAACTGTAGGTGGTATTTTGGAAAATACTTATTTTTTCAATAATTCATAATATTTTTGTTTATGATTTGCCCAGCAAATGCACAGTGTCAGTAGGTATTACTTTATCTAAACTACAAAATAAATATAAAAAAATATGCAATTTGAGTAATTTAATTTTTTTGATAATTTTGATTTTTTTTGTAAAAAAATAATTCTTCCAAGACACCATCTCGATCAAACAAATCGTTCACGAGATATATATTTTTCTATTGATTCGTATCATTTTTGCATAAGCCCTTTTCAAGTGTTAGTCGTGTGCAAAGCTAGGGAGCCATATATCCGGAGAACTTTGAGATTTGGGCGTAATTGCGTTTGTAAACAAACACGTCAATCGCCGATTTCTCGCGAATAAAAGCTCAATCTCACAAACAAACTATACCAAATGATAGAGGAGTCATTCCTCTAACTGTTTGTGTTGCTAGTTTTCGAGATTGAGCTTTAATTAGCGAGAAATCGGTGATTGACGTGTATGTTTAAAAAGCAATTACGCCCTAATCTCGAAGTTCTCCGGATATGTAAAATGGCATGTTGAGCAATAACAAACAACTGTGCAAAGTTTCATCATAATCATAAAAGGTCGATCCGAAACGATTTGCGAATCTGTGTGGAACTGCTCTAGTTATGGTAAAGATGGGTGTGGCCGGAAGTAGTGACAGTCATGCTACTGGAATTCTTGTTTATATTGGAATCAATATTTACTCCCCAGCATTATTCCAGAAAGTAGTCTGACTGATAATTTCAAAAGAGTCGTGAGTGTCGCTAGTATCCAATCTATACTTCGTAGATAACAACGCTAAAGGCCCACGCACATTAGATCCGGATCGGACGCGTTGCGGCAAAGTGATAGCTAAATCTATTATCTGACTGTCAAATTTACGTCAACGCAACGCAAACGGATCTAATGTGCGTGGCCCTTAACGCTATATAGGATGTATGTGGTTTCCCTAATAGAAACTCTCTTCCAGTAATAAACGTGGTACATGTCTGCTCCGTTTACTGCTATGTTTTAGAAGCTAAACAATTATTTTATATCTACTTGATAACAACATGGTTAACCAAACATATTTTCAGATGACGATCAACGCTGCTCTTGGATTTGATTCATTCCTAGTCATGCGTCACGGAGCACAATCAACAACCTATTTGCAACAAAGTATTGAAGTGGAAGGATTTAAGGAGCTGTCGGGATCTCGTTTGGGTTGCTATTTTTGCAACGATATTGTGGCACCAGGAAATGTAGGCATTAACTAATTACGGTTATTAAAACGATTATCTACATTTTTTTTCAGTCTCTCAAAGATCGTACTTTGGATCAACAATGTACAGTCACCAGGCCTGCGGTAGCTAGTATTGCGTCTAGCCTCGCCGTTGAATTGGCTGTGTCACTATTGCAACATGATGGCAGGTGAGATAAAAATTGTCCACGTGAAAATATGCAGAGAGGATAGATGTATGTACGTTCCTATTATCGCATGTGTTCCAATTATGGCATATGTGAATTCAATAGGAATTGGAACACCATAATAGGAACGTATAGCCATGACTGGTATATTGACACATAGACAAACTGACATAACTCTAAGCAAGCCAACATATTTTGAACTAATCAGTGATGTCAGATATTTTTTCCGATCAATTCATAACTCTTAAAAATCATGAGGAATCAAGGCATCGCACCAGGGACACATAACTAAACTAATTTGACGTGATGTGATGTGATGTGAATAGAACCCACCATCAGTGCAAGGATTACATATGACTGCAGATACTTCACTGGTTGTAAATTTCTGCCTGATGGTTTGTTGCAGCAGGGTGAATCAACTTCATTGGAGATCTTTGGAAGACAAACGATAAGATGTACGTCTATCAACACGTGACAAGGGACTGGCAAATCCAAGAACCCTTGTCCAGTCTACAAATCCTTTGAAACCCTTAGGCTGCCCCCCAAAACCCAGCATATAATAATGTTTGATTAATGAAATGTATTCAAAAAAGGGTTATTTAGAGCGAACAATCTTCAACTAAAACGTACTCACCAAATCAATACATCCGGGAATATTACATCTAAACAGTTGCACATTGGTAATGTCGCTTGTTGTGTAATATTATGCTGTACGATGTACACAAAATTTTTGAACATATTAATTTTGATGGATCGGATGTAATCAGAGGGAACGTCACTTCGGGGGATGCATTTTATTTCAAAAAAAGATTTGGCACTGCTGCGATGGGATGCGTGCGAGATAAAAAGAACAAACCGGTATAGACAGAACGATAAACGGAGATGTAGAGGATACCTTGCATTTTTTTTTATGTGGATGAACCCAGATGTGATTGCTGCAAGGGGTAAAGTAACTCAGCACATTGTGCCAAAATTAGATTCGGCACAGCTTGGGCACATCAATCGGCACAATATCGTAGGCTTTGGATTGTTGTAAATAAAATGGGAGCACTGCTTGACCACTGTCACTAAAGTCGTTCACAGCATTACGTGCCGTTTGACTGTATATTCAGAAACATCCGCTAATTGAATAAACCAGAGGAACTCAGACCAGCACTTCACTTCTCGGTTCACTTATAGATTTTAATCCGAAATTTAGGTTCAAGAGTGAGCTCAAGAGAAAGAAGCATTAAATCAGACCCCATTAGTACCCTTAATTCAAATAGTGCTGCAACTCACACAAAAAAAACTACAGAAGTCATATTAATCATCCTCTATAGTCGGTCTCCAACAATGTTCCCCAACGGTTTCAACTCTTTCTGGTCGCTGATAGACCGTTGCTTTTCACATCATGAAAGGCTAGGTTTCTGGTTTGCCTTTAAGGGCATTATAAAACCCTAAAGCACAGGACTTTTATTATCATATGAACACAAAACACCAAAATTACTCACACCCGCCACTTCCCGCGTCATTCTCCATCCGAATAATCCTTGCGATTTCAAACCAAAACATTCAAGGTGTCAGAGATACCGGGTTGCCGGGTTGGGTATTTTACAAACAATCGCAGCTTGCGCTATGACCGGCACAATATGACCCAAGATTGGTGTGCAGAGTGACCTACTCCTTGGATTGCTGTCGTTGTTGGATGGGCTCGCAATTGAAGCCCGGCTGCTGCTGAATCTGCTATCTTCTGCTGGTTATTTTCCTCAATGTTGCCGCTTCCAAGTCTACCGTAATTCTCCTCGTTTCTCTTGACCTTTATTTCCTGTATGTGTGTGGTTTACATGCATGAATTCTAATTTTGGAACGTTCGCCTATAGGTAGATATCCGAAATTCTTGTATCGAAAGGACGATCAAGGATCATCCTCAGCGACCTGGATTTTGTTCCTATGAGTCTGTGCTCATACGGTTTTGACTACATACGAGCGGAAGAGGAGCTTTTCATCGAACAACATTCCGAGATAAGTTATTTCGGCGAGCCACTAAACCCTTGTATCATCCCTAATACAAGAGGAAGTCGGTTTTAATTTGAGGCATTACCGGTGGAGAAACATGATTGCTTGGGTTTTTGAGGTATTGATATTAATTTTCCAAGTGTTAGCATAATCAGCAAAGGCGTCAAGGCATTGTTAAAGTTTGTTCGTAATTTCGCGAGGCATCCTTCCTTTGACGGCAAATGCGGTCCCATTTGCGAAGAGGAAAAACACGCAACCTGCTCCGAGAGGAAGAATGTTGGAAGTGTAGATGCTGTAAAGCAAGGGGCCCAGCAGACTGCTTTGCGGGACTCCTGTTGGAGTGGAAAACGTATCTGAAATAAAACCATTCAACGATACTTTGAAACAATCTTTGCAGGAGGTAGTTACAGGTGTTTTTAATAAGATGCAAAGGAAAGTTGAAGTTACAAGGCTTGTATACAAGTCTATCATGTCAGCCATTGTCAAACAATTTCTCAACGTTGTGGCCTTGGATACAGCCTTGTTACTTCTCATGTTATTCATCACCCGTACTAGCTGATGATTGGGTGGTGTGCCCCTTCCTGAACCCGAACTGCTCCGGTAGGAAAATGTTGTGTTCCTCGAAAAACGACTGGGAATGAGTTTCTCGAACAATTTGCTCAGCGCTGAAAGGAGGCTGATCGGTCTGTAGCTTGAGGGCAATGTTGGATCCTTACCGGATTTGCGTACTGGTATGATTTTTGCTACCTGTTCAGATCAACTATTTCACGTTTTTTGTCCAGATCTCCAGTCCTCTGAAACTGGCGTCTACGAACATTTCTCAAGCGAACTTGGATATGGGAATCAATAGCAACAAACTTATCCCTCACAGGAGCTTATCGAACACACTCCTCTTCAGCCACGGATAAGGCCTGATTAACTTCTTCCAACGCTCAGTCGATGTTATCTACGGTGTCGAGCGGCGGATTTTCTTTGATATTTCTGTCCACCATTCGTCCGAACTACACCCAGTTGACATGATGGTAGTCTTAACGCATGCAGCTTCTAGCAGCAATCACGTTGACACCAACAACTACCACCGGTTGGTCGTCGGAACTGAAATCGTTGTGCGCCTCCGTATTGGATAGTCCGATGTACGACAGAGAAAAAAATCCAGGGTGGAGGGATTTCCCGCTGGAGTGATGAAAGTTGGTTCGTCCGGAATCTGCAGTCCATGTTGTGCGTGGTAACAATGCTACAAAAAATTACTTATTTTTTTTTTCTTAAGTTCAGCATATGCGATTTTTTCTAGAATTCGAGAAACTTTTCAAAGGCTTGCATATCATTTCTGACAATCATTGAATTTTTCTGATGTTTGCTGAATTAACAAAAAAATTCATAACGCATGTGAAATACACAGATTTTAAGTGAAGTATTTTCAACTTTTCTGAGTTCACATGTATGTTTTGAAGTCCACAGATGTAATCATTCCAAAGACCTTCAAATTATCAAGTAACTGTATTATGTTCTATGGGTATTTTGGCAATTCTTCTGGTAGATGAGTTATTATTCTGAAGATCTCAAATTGTTCAATAAATCAACTGTCTAAGATAATCTAAAAAAATGGCAGGTTGATCAGGAATTATTCCAAATACCTTAAAGTGATCAAATACCTGAATAATGTCATCTTTATATTTCGGCTGATTTGCAATTTTTCTGTAGATTTCTTATTGTTCAACAGATAAAATCATGCTTCAAAGATTTGCTCTCAAGATAATCGATTGATCAGGAATTATTCCAAAGACCCGCAATTGATCAAATACCTGAATAATGTTCTCTTGTTATTTTAGCAATTCTTCTGATTGATTAGTAATTATTCTGAAGATTTCTGCTTGTTCAATAAATCAAGTCATGCGTCTAATATATTCTCAGAGTATTTTAACAATTCTTCTTAAAAAGATCTCTAATTGTTCAATAGGACAAATCATGCCTCTAAGATATTCTTTAAGTAAGTAGGTTGATCAGGAATTATTCTAAAGACCTTTAATTCATTAACATTCATTATTAGCATTATGCAGGTATGCTCTCTTGATATTTTGGCCATTCTTATGATTGATAAGATATCATTCTGCAGATTTTTAATTGTTAAGTAAATCAAATCATGCCTCTATGATTTTCTTGCAAGAAAGTCGGTTGATGAGGAATTACTTCAAGGACCTTGAATTGATCAAACACCTGCATAATATTCTTTGGTTATTTTGGAAATGGCTGCATACATACATACAAACATACATATGATAAATGAAAATCAGTCAAATTATAAGAATTAATTGAAATGGATTTCAAAAGCATAAGCGTAAGCTTTATTTTTCACTTCAATATTATAATTACATTTACTTCTTGGTTTGACTCATATAAAAATATATCGAAAACTTTTTCGAAGGGACGTATCAGCTTTATCTTTTGGCCGACTAGTGAGAAATGCGAAATTGTTTTAAAACGAGATCTAGGTAAAACATTCAAGATCTGTAATTTATAATTTTGGCGGCAAGCTTCAGGAAAAGTTATGTGAAGAGATGGAAGCCAAAGCAGTTTTGCAAATTTTATAGAATATTACTGATAACTTCGCGAATTGGAAACAGTTTTACAATCATGTAAGAAATTTGACAAACTCCAAAGAAAATATACTAATTTAATAGACATTCTGTGAACATCCAGAGAAAATGTGCAAACTTCAGAAAAAAAATGCGGAATTAAAAGAACTACTAAGAATTACAAAAGACGATCTTAGAAATTTAGGAAATAAATACAAATTTCAGCAAATTTCGAACAATTTCTGTGAGCTTCAGAAAAATTTAATTACATTAAGAGAAGTTCACAATGCTACAAAAAAAAATCTTAAAATTTTTCGGAAGTTCTGAGTCAGGGGATCTTTCTTCTTAAGTCACTGTTTAAAAAATAACTCACACCCGCCACGTGATGCGCCACGTTTCGCGCCAACCTGCGCTGAATTACCTGATTGGTCAATT